TAGTGCCATCCAGTCAGTTCTGACTCACAGGGTTTCCAAGGAGTGACTGGTGAGTTTGATCAGCCAACCTTGCGGTTAGCAGTCCTGTATTTATCCCACAGTGACACGCAACGTCTTATTACTCACATTTATAAATGTACTGGTATGTTCTTACTATGTTATGTGGTCTAATAATTGAAATATCACTCTAAAGTGTTGTGTTTTAGTACTTTTTTCCAACACTTAAAAGTTTATTAAGTAACGGATTTGTCCTACTTAGGCACTGACTGATGTCAATGGTGAATAGTGTATAAAATTATAAGATCAATTGAATCCAAAGAATGGACCCCGATGATATAAACCATGTATTTTAAGGGGGAAGGGGTAAAATAAAGGAATTTTTTATCTTAACTAATATGAATTGTATTTTAATATGTACTTACAAAGATTTTCATAAAGCCAACATAAGTACAAATATTTTATAAAAATCAATAAACTGTTTACTTTGTTGGAGTCATGGTATGGCTCTTTAGGATAAATAATGGACTGCTAACTACAAGGTGTGTGGTTCAAACCCACCAACTGCTCCTTGGAATCCCTATACAGGGTTGCTATGAATCGGAACCAACTCAATGACATGTAACAACAACAATAATTTACTTTTTTAAAAAACATGAGTTCTTAAAGATCAGCTGTTTTTTAAAGTTTTTATTTTGAATCCCACAATATAAAGGAAGTTCTTTAAAAAATATTTCATTATGTTTGAATCATTTTAAAGCAAACAGCTCACTATTACACTTTTATGTGATAGAAATCCATGCCTTCCTTAAAGGTGGAGCCATCTTTGTCTCTAAAGTGTTCAGGGAGAACATGCCTTGAACTTAAATCCTCTAGCAAGGAGAGTGTTACAATATAATTCCAAGTATGCTTCTTTATAATATAACCTTTTTGTAGAAAAATCCTTATTCTCCCAAGTCCCTTACCTTTTTGCCTACAATTTTATAAGACAAGGATTGTGTCAATTTCAAAGAAGACTTATTTCATTCAACAAAGATTGCTATACTAGAGGGAAAAATATATGTATATGTGTATATATTTGTTGTTGTTAAGTGTTGTCAAGTTGCTTCCAACTCATAGAGACACTGTATAGGGTTTCTCAGGAATGGTTGTTGAGTTTGAACCATCTTGGGGTCAAGCATTATCCTATGGCACCACACTAGGATATGTATGTATGTATGTATGTATGTATGTATAAATATAGTAAAAAATCCTTACCAATAAATGACATTTATATAAATGAAAAAAAGATTGAAGTTGTCAAAGAGTTCATTTTTCTTGGATCAACTATCAACACTAATGGAAGCGGCAGTCAAGAAATTAAATGACATATTGCAGTAGGCAAATCTAATGTTTAAAGTGTTTAAGAGCAAAGTTTGAGGACTAAGGTGGGCCTGACCCAAGCCATGGTATTTTCAGTTGCCTCATATGCATGTGAAAGTTGAACAATAAATAAAGAAGACTGTAGAATTGTTGCATTTGAGTTATAGTGTTAGAGGAAAATATTTAAAAGTACCATGGTCTTCCAAAAGAACAAACAGATCTTTGTTGGAAGAAGTATAGCCAGAGTGCTCCTTGGAAGTCAAAATGGTCAGACTTTGTCTATTATACTTCAGCTATATTGACAAGAAAGACCAGTCTCTGGAGAAGGATATCATATTTGGTAAAGTGGAGGCTCAGAAAAAAAGAGGAAGACCCTCAGCTAGATGGATTGGCACAGTGGCAACAGAAAAAGGTTCAAACATTGTGAGGTTGAAGCAAAGATTATGAGGTTGGCACATGGCTGGGCAGTGCTTTGTTCAGTTGTGCATGGGGTAACTATGAGTCATTACAGACTCGATGGCACCTAACAACTCCATGAACGGATAACAACCCTGTGCACAACAGAATGCAATACTACTTGATCCTGTGACATCACAATCATTGTTAAGCTGCTGCCAGTGTGCCAATTCACCTTGTTGAGGGCCTTCGTCTTTCTCAATGACCCTCCACGTTAGTAAGCATAATGTCCTTCTTCTGGGACTGGTTTCCTCCTGATAAACTGTCTGAAGAAATGTCACCCACCTGGCTCCTAAAAAACATTCTGGCTGTACTTCTTCCAACACATCTGTTTGTTCTTCTGGCAGTCCATGTTATTTTCAGTATTCTTCTCCAACACCATAACTCAAACGCATCAATTCTATGGTCTTCCATATACATTGTTTAACTTTCACATGCATATGAGGCAATTGAAAGTACCATGGCTTGAGTCAGGCACACCTTAGTCTCAAACTTTGCTCTTAAATGCTTTAAAGAGGTCTTGTGCAACAGATTTGCCCAATGCAATATATTATTTGATTTCTTTGCTGTTGCTTGTATGAGTATTAATAGTGGATCCAAAATGAAGTTTAACAACTTCCATCTTTTCCCCTTTTATCATGATGTTATTTGTTAGTCCAGTTGTGAGGATTTTTGTTTTCTTTACACTGCACTGAAACCCATATAGAAGGCTGTGGTCTTTAATCTTCATCAGTAAGTATTTTACGTCCTTTCCACTTCCAGCAAACAGTTATATCATTTGAATATGGCAGATTGTTAATAAGTCTTCCTTCCATCCTGATGCCATGTTCTACTTCATATAATCCAGCTCCTGTGATTATATGTTCAGTATGCAGTTTAAATAGGTATGGTGAAAGAATATAACCCTGGTACCCATCTTTTCTGTTTTTAAACCATTCTTTATTACTGTGTTCTGTTTGAAGGACTACAAGTTCCTCATGAACACAATTAAGTGCTCTGAAAACCCATTCTTTGTAGTGTTATCCATAACTTGTCATGAGCCACACAGTTGAAAGCCTTCTCATAGTCAATAAAGCAGAAGGAAACAACTTTCTGGTATTTTCTACTTTTAGCCAAAATCAATCTGATATTAGTAATGATGTCACTAGTCCCACATCCTTTTCTGAATTTGGCTTAAATTTCTGGCAGTTCTCTGTCAATGTACTGTTGCAACCATTTGTGAATTATCTTCAGCAACATTTTACTTGCATGTGATATTAATGATATATATATATGAAAGAAGGAGTCATGGCATGGCACTGTGGGTTAATGTGCTGGAATGCAAGGTCGATTTGAACGGCAAGGTCTGTGGTTCAAGCTCACCAGACACTCCTCGGAAACCCTATACAGGGTCGCTATGAGTCAGCTCAACAGCGTTTAACAGCAGCAGCAATATATAAAAGAAAGGAAATGCAACGGCTCCATACTGTAAGCACTGGACCGCGAACTACAGAGTCCCCGGTTAGAGATCACCAGCCACTGTGTGGAGAAAGATGAGGCTTTCTACTCCTTCGAAGATTCTAAAAACCTCAGAAGCTTTTTACAGGGTCACTATGAACATGGGAACACTGAGTGGTTTAAAATTAAGAAAGGTGTGTGGCAGGGTTGTATTCTTTCACCATACTTATTCAACCTGTATGCTGAGCAAATAATCTGAGAAGCTGGGTTATATGAAGAAAAACGTGGCATCAGGATTGGAGGAAGACTCATTAACAACCTGTGATATACAGGTGATACAACCTTGCTTGCTGAAAGTGAAGAGGACTTAAAGTACTTACTCATGAAGATCAAAGACCACAGCCTTTGGTATAGATTGCAGCTCAATATAAAGAAAACAAAAATCCTCACCACTGGACCAATAAACAACATTCTTATCAGTGGAGAAAAGATTGAAGTAGTCAAGAACTTCATTCTTTTTGGATCAACTATCAACATTCATGGAAGCAGCAGTCAAGAAATCAAATGACATATTGCATTAGGCAAATCTGCTGCACAATACCTTTTTAAAGTGTTGAAGAGCAAAGATGTCAGCTTGAGGACTAAGGTATGCCTGACCCAAGCCATGGTATTTTCAATAACCTCATATGTATGTGAAAGCTGAACAGTAACTAAGGAAGACCTTGATGCTTTTGAGTTATGGTGTTGGAGAAGAATATTGAAAGCGCCATGGGCTGCCAAAAGAACCAATAGATCCGTTTTGGAAGAAGTGCAGCCAGAGTGCTCCTTGGAGGCCAAGATGGCTAGGCTTCGTCTCTCATACTTTGGACATATTATCAGGAGGGAACAGTCGTTGGAGAAGGATATCATGTTTGGTAAGGTGGAGGGTCAGAGAAAAAGAGGAAGACCCACAGCGAGATGGATTGGCAAAGTGGCAGCATCAATGGCTACAATAGTGAGGTTGGCCCAGGATTGAGCAGTGTTTCGTTCTGCTGTGCATAAGGTCGCTATGAGTTGGTACTGATTCGATGGCACCTAACAACAATAACAACATGTGTTGGAACTGACTCTGAGGCTCTTAACAATAGTAAAACAAAACCAAACGCATTGCTGTGGAGTTGATTCTGACTCATAGTGACCCTAAAGGACAGAGTAGAACTGCCCTATATGTTTTCCAAGGCCGCAAGTCTTCATGGAAGCAGGCCGCCACATCTTTGTCCTGCAAAGGCTTCGAACCACCAACCTTCTGTTTAGCATCCAAGCACTTAACAACTGTGTACCAGGACTCCTACACTGAGGATAGTACCTGTTTTGTTAATGAGAGTAATGCTCAAAATAATGACGTCATCTTTATCGAGTACTTTTTATCAAAGAACAAAAAACATACATATTGTTTGTCCCTTCTCTTGTTGAGTCTAGTCAGTATTCTCTCTCCCTTCTCTTGTCTTGCAGCATTTTGTCACTCATACACTGTAACTTTGAATGAGCTATAATGAACAACATGACTGAGGTTCAAGATGAAATAACTTTCACATAATTAAAGAGACTAACTAGACCAAGAATATGCAAGCCTATTTTTTTTAACATAAATACTTTATAATTTGCATAATCTTTGTTTTATTAAAAACATATAATCTCATATATAATGCGGCTATAAGTAAAATTAGTATCTGATGTTTTTTAGTTATACTTTTTTTCTTTCTTCTTAGGATAAACATGTTCTGACAGTTGTGACTATTGATAGGATGCTGGAAAGGCTGAAAAAATGTGATGAACTTCTGGAACTTATTCTTAAAGGACTTAATGAGTATTTGGAAAAGAAACGTCTCTTCTTCCCCCGATTCTTTTTCTTATCTAATGATGAACTTCTTGAGATCCTATCTGAAACTAAAGATCCCACTAGGTAAGTTACTGACATGTAACAACACATTTATGTTCTTAAATTTAGTTTTTAGAACAAGGCAGAACATAAAATGATATATATAATGCTGTTTGTGTAATAATTTTTCTCCCAGAACATTTTCAATATCAATAATCAATTTAAAATTCTTATTCATAACATCATTGTTGCTGTTAATTGCCATTGAGTTGGTTCCTACTGATAGCAACTCTGTATAGGAACAACTGATGGGTTTGAATTGCCGATCTTGTGGTTAGCAGTCCAGTGTTTATACTACAGCATCACACATAGTTAATATCATCAGATGATATTTTTCTAAATGTGCTGAATCTTGAAATGGGTTTTCTTAGATTTTTCAGAGCATGTCATTCTTCTATATCACATTCAGAATCAAAGCCAGACCCTGCAGAATAGTTTAGAGTACCCGACAGAGTTGGCACCTCTGAATCCCGCTCTTACTAGACTTCTTACTCACACGTTTGCTCAGTAGCTTCATTGTTGTTGTTAAATGCTGTCTAGTTGGTCCCCACTTCTAGCAACCCTATATAGGATTTCTAAGAAGTGGCTGGTGGGTTTGAACTGCTGACCTTGTAGTTAGCAGTCCAGTGCTTATCTTACAGCCATAAATGGGACATCTTACTCCCTCAGGGTCTTTATAATTGCTGTTCGCTTTGCCTACGGTGCTCTTTACCCACATAGCCTTAGCCTTCTTATTGGCCTTTATGGAGATCTGCTCAAACATCCATACTCAGAGAGGTCTTCATTGACTACCATGTTTAAAATGGCAACCCTTTCCAGCATTCCTTAGCCTCTTATATTCTTTATCTTATTTTCCTTCAATGTACTCACTACCATGTAACACACTATAATGATTTGTTTACTGTTTGAATTCCTCTAGCAGAATAAAAGCTCTATGAGGGCAGGGATTTGTGACTCCTTCCTTCCACCCCCATTGCCGATTCCTTAGTCTAGAAGAATGTCTGGTAGATGGTAGACATTAATTGATTAATGTTGTATTTTATACCAAATTAGTAGAAGAAGACAACTAATCCAGTCAAAAAGATAAATTTGGGCTCAGATTTATTTCCATCTGATTTATTTCAGTGCTCTTCTTTACTCATTTGAAAGATAAATGCAATTGATCATTGGTAATGTGCCAAATATGAGGGGTTAGTGAGTCTCTTTTAGATTATATTGAATAGACTAACAGTTGGGTATCTTCAAAGAAGTTGATTTTGTAAACTGTAAAGTATTTAAAGTGCTAAACCAAGTTCATAATTTGGAAGCAATCTCTGAAAATACTGAAATGGTACTTTGGGGCCTTTGCAGATTCTTCAGGCTAGCGTATATCTGTTAGTCAAGATTTGGCTTACTCTTCATATTATTTTTAGTCTCTTTTCAGTTCATTGTGTTGGCGACAAAACCATACAGACCTCTCCTCCAGAAGCATTTAGTATAGTTGTAACTTTATAGATTCTTTTGTGTTTATTCCATTAATGTGTGATGCTCTCACCTGACTTTACATCCTTCCCCAGGCAGAGATTGTCTTTTTGTTGTGCAGCTTTGCATCTCCAACAGCACCTAACCTGGGCCTAAGCACACAGTGTATGTTTATGAATGAAATGAAATTTGGTGCACAAAAGACATTGCTATTTAAGATATGCTTTAGCTTGGTTGTGGTGCTATAGGATAAACACTAAACTGGTTATAAGTAAGGTCAGCTGTTCAAACCCATCAGCTTCTGTGCCTGAGAAAGTTGAGTCTTTCTACTCCTATAAAGATTTATAGCCTTATATAGGGTGATTATGAGTTGGAATCTACTCCGTGGCAGTAAGAGTGGGGTATATATACACATAGTTGTTAAGTGCCATTGACTTGGTTTCAACTCATAACAACCCTGTTTAGGTTTCTGAGGAATAGTTGGTGGGTTTGAACTGCCAACCTTGTGACTTACAGTCCAGTGCTGACCCTACAGCGCCACACCAGAAGTTCATATATATATGTATATATAGAGATATACACACACACATTTTTTTTTCTCCCTGACAGGGTACAACCTCATTTGAAGAAATGTTTCGAAGGTATTGCAAAGGTGGAATTTACAGAAAGTTTAGATATTACTCACATGAAGAGTACTGAAGGAGAGGTTGTGGAACTCATAGAGATCATTTCAACAGCCAAAGCCAGAGGTCAAGTGGAGAAGTGGTTGCTTGAGTTGGAGAGAACGATGATTAAGTCTATCCACAAGGTAGCTAGCTGTGTTCTTATTTTTAGTAAAGCATGACAGAGTATTCACATTATTATAAATATATCATTGGTAGAAGAACACAGAACTTGCACAGAATTTGAGACATGAATTCCTGATTCAAATGAAGTAGATGATTTGAAAGCACAGAATTTACCTGCCATCCATGGTAGGCATTTGGAGTGACTCACTTGAGAAATGGGACAAATTACCCATGCTACTATAGAAAACTTGGGCTTTAGTTATGTGTCTATCTCATTTCTTGCAGCAACACGTAATAGATAAACACACATCAGAAGCCTACATGGTCTGTCTTACCTTGGAAGCTTCTGTCTGTAGTTTCACATGAATTTCCTTGACATATATGTTTCTATAGTGAATCCTCTTCTGTGTGTATATTAACTGCTACAAATTTGCAAATATTTCCTATAATTAATGGCATTGTAACATTTTCTGCAGCTCATAAAACATTGTCAGCCCAATCTTTGCCATTAGTTTTCTGAGAACAGAACTTTAAGTCATGCCAGCAAATGTAAATTAATTGAATTCTTACTAGCATGAGTTAGCATTCAGGTTTTTTGGTTAAGGGTAGAAATTATGATTGAGCTTGGGGAGCACGGGGACAAGGCTGTGGAGGAAATATGGCATTGGATTCAGGCTCAGATCAGCAAGTTTTCATTAACTTCAGATTCTCTCACATATTACTGGCAAAATTCATTGACATTTAAGTGTAATATGTATTATGCCTTTTAGTAATTCTTTTTCCTGTTATTAAATGCAGTTTTAATACCTGCCTACATGGTATTTGTCCAGTGGGTATAAAATCTTTTGGATGCTTCTCATTTCTCCCAATTATATTACTATGAATGTCCTTATTATACAGTCAGTTTCTTTGATTAAATTATTTATTTTCTTAGGATAACTTCTCGTGTGTAGGACCACTGGGCCAAGAAGAATAAGTTTTGGTCATCTCTGACAATTATTGCCAAGTAGTATTCCCATTCTTTAGAAACTTTTCATTGTGAATTGAGTAAAAGTTTACAGAGCAGATCATCAGTTTTGCATTCAACAAATCAGATACTTCATTTCATTGAAATGATTACAATCCCCTCCATGCAACATCATTATTCCACTCCTTCCCTATGATTCTTGTTTCCATTCAACCTTCTTTTCCAAACTTTCTGAACTTATTCCTTAGGTAAATGATGACTTTCTGATCTTGAATGATTGATTATTACATAGTGTGCATACTTCAATAGTGTTGTTGTCCCTCTTATATACTTGGCTGGAAATTGAACCATGGGGATGAGTTTAGTTGCAGACCTGAAGGGTAGTCAAGGCTATAGTCTCAGGTTCCTCCAGTCTCTGTTTCTGACTAGTAAACCTGGTCATTTTCATTTCTATTATTTTGAGTTTTATTCCACATTTTCTGCCACTCTATCCAGGACCTTCTAATATGATTCCTACGGTTGGTAGTGGTAGCCAGACACCATCTAGTTCTTCTGGTTTCAAGGTTGTGTGAGACTGATATTCCATTAGTACATTGTGCTAGCTGATTCCAAGCATCTTCAATTTTCATCTTTCTTATTTCCTCTGTATAGGAAGAGACAAATAGCTGCACCTTAGATGGCCTCTCATGAGCCTTTAAAATCCCAGTTGGTACTCACAAAAGCAGGATGTAGCATATTGTCTTTGTGGACTATGACATGCCATTTGACCATGTTGGCCCTAATACTATGGTGTCCTGAGCCCCCAGACCCAGCAACTCATTCTCTCAAGGGTTTTTGGTGATGTCTAAGACGTTTTCATAATGTTAGTTTCTATATGCTCGACCACATTTATAGATATGTTTGCAAAATAGTTAATGTTGTTGTTGTTAGATGCCATCAAGTCGGTACCGACTCAAAGCAACCCTATGCACAACAGAATGAAACATTGCTTGGTCCGGGGCCAACCTCACAATTGTTGCAACACCTGAGCACGTTGATGCTGCCACTGTGATGATCCATTATGTTGCAGGGATTTCCTCTTTTTCTCTGACCCTCCACTTTACCAAACATGATATTCTTCTCCAGCGACTGGTCCCTCCTGATAACAAAGTTAATACCCGTGTACAAATATCCTCTGTCATGCCTCTATATGCATGTGGGTATACTCCCACTCTCCCTCCCATACCAGTTCAGCCTGTTTATCTGTCCTGTATCTACCTGTAGATCACTGTTATTGCAGGTCTAGAACCGTATTCACCTCTATTCCATTTAACTCTGGCACTCCTCCCTGTGTTTTCACCTGTCTTCATCATTCTTCTGCCAACCTCCCTCTTGTTGTATATTGCTTTCCCTATCACCTAAGTTAATGTGCTGTTGTTATTGTTAAGTGCCATGGAGTCAGTTCTGACTCATAACGACCCTGCATAGGGTTTCTGAGGAGCAACTGGTGGGTTTGAACTGCCAATTTTGTGGTTCACAGTCCAGTGCTGATCCTACAGCGCCACACCAGGAGTTCCTCTAATTGGAGTCTTGGTATGGCAGTATAAGATAAGCACTCGACCACAAGGTGGATTTGAACTGCAAGGTCCTCAGAAACCCTATACAGGGTTGCTATGAGTTGAAACTGACTTGATGGCACTAAACAACAACAAAAACCTCTAACCAGTGAATTATTGTCTCTCCTCTCCCACACTTGGTTACCATCAAAGAATGCTTCTTTGAGCATGAAAATCTTTCTACTTTGTTTTGCTTGGCTAAATATGTTTTCAGTGGATTGATATATCCACTCTTTCAACCAGCCATCAGTGGTAAACATTCTAATCTTTTGTAGGCATCAGTCAAAAGTTATAGCATCTGTGAGGTGATACCCACATATATAAATATCGTTGGATTTCAGAAAATACTTTCAAAATAAAACTATTCTGAGAAATGTCTAAGAATGGTTGAACCTTTGGGGAATTCTAGCTTAATTGGATATTTGCAGAGCTAAAAGGCAAAGTATTGGTCATTGATAATAGAGAAATTTCAAAAGGTCAGAAGTCACAAAAAGACAAGTGAAAATGAGCAACTAACGAATGGGAGAAACAGATTAGAAAGCCCAAGAGATGTTCTTGGTGCATTTGCTCCTTCATCATTGGCACTTTCTCAAAAAGTTGGAAACAGTAATACTGTGTGACCCAGAAATCCTTCTACTTGGTATATATCCTTAAGAAATAAGAGCCATGATGTGAATAAATAGTGCATGCCCATGTTCACTGCAGCACTGTTCACAATAGCAAAGGATGGAGACAGTCTGTGTGCCCATCAATAGAATGGATTAAAAAAAAACTTTGGTACATACTATACCAAATGTGTAGAATACTACACAGCATTGAAGAATAATGATGAATAATACTTCATAGCATGGATGAACCTGGAGGACATTATCCTGATTGAAATTAGTCAATCACAAAAGGACAAATATTACCGAGACCACTATTGTAAAACAAAACAGATGTTATCATTTTTAGTGGATGCCTATAACAGATTAGAATGTTTAGCACTGATGGCTGATTGAAAAAGTGAATCTATAAACCCACTGAAAATATATGTAGCAAAGTAATTCGAAGTAGACTTACCAACTTTACAGTCATCAATTCTCCATGAGTGAATTATAAATCTGCTCCTGCCATCAATGACTTGAAACTGAGTTAAGAGGTCATGAAGTATGGAGACATAAGAATTGTAGAGGAATTTGTGTGATTTGTTTGAGTATGCATGTACACAGATGCACATGGGTAAATGGGCATCTGATTAAATTAATTAGGATCTTGTTTTAGAATTATTTGAATTTATGTTTTTCAGTGAAATTGTTTGTGCTTGTTCAAGCTGAGTGCATCTAAGATGTCTCTTCCGTACAACTGGTCAAATGAGTATTTGAAATAATTTTATTCACACAAATTGATAATGTGTCAACAAATAAATTCAATTTAGTTTACAAGGGGGCTTCAGAAACTTGATGAAAACGTATTATCTTGAAATTTCTATTTCCATGGACTTTTTGAAGCCCCTCATATTTGTTTTGTTGAAAGGTATATAAATAAATTTATGAAATGATTAAGCAGTTCTTAAATGAATGGTGGTAATGATTGTGTGCTGTGGAGTCAGTTCCAACTTATATCGACCCTGCAAAGGGTTTCTGAGGCTATAAATCTTTACAAGAGCAGAAAGCCTCATCTTTCTCCCGTGGAACAGCTGGTAGTTTCGAACTGCTGGCCTTTAGGTTAGCAGCCTGACTCATAACCACTACACAACCAGAGCTCCTTCTTAAATGAGTAGTATGGGTTGATTTTTTTAGTGTTTTGTCTCTTCATTGTATCACATTGTTCAAGTAAAGTGTGAAACCATTCATCTTCAGCATTTTATTTTCCAATTAGGTCATTGGAGAGGCAATTATGGCCTATACAAACAATGCACGAATTAACTGGGTAAGAGACTGGCCTGGACAAACTGTTCTCTGCGTCTCCCAAATCTACTGGACTTCCGAAGTACAAACAGCAATCGCAAAGGGGCAGCTGGTAACTTTTCATGACTCATACTTCTTTCAGCATTGTGTTCAATAGTATCATTGTTAAGATATGCTTATATATATATAAAAAAAAAACACTAAGAAATCTACTTTAATGCTACAAGCCAATGTATAAATTTTTAAAAATCAAAAAATCTCACATAGCAAATATATAGTAAAAGCTATAGAAAACAATTATTTGTCTAAACTGTTTATTTGCATTATGAGTCTCACTCTTGTTATTATATGTATTTTTGTACCTTTAAAAACAGCAATAGGATTAAGAAACTTCCTGAATTTTCAAGGCTTTTGTAGGAAGTAAAGTAATATAATTCTCTTTTATGTCTTGAGTAAAACTGCCGTATGAAAACAAAGTATCATTTGACTTACTTTGATTATTTTAATTTTAAATGTATTGCATTTGAATAAATAACAATTACTAATATTTTTTATTAAGTGGATTTCTACCATTAAATAAAAGCAGACTATGTTCAATATAGCAAGCCGTGTTATCCTTGAGATACAGGATTTCAGGCTGCTTAACTTTTCGTTGACTAATGAATCAGTTAGAATCTAGAAATTATAGGTATTCATTTAAAGCCATGAGTTTATAATATATTTTGACTTGGAATTCAATTTTATTGTTTTAAATTCTAAGGTATTATTGAATACTGACATAAGGGTTTGGGTTTGAGCAGGGCACGTGCTCTCTGTAGACAGATCCCAGGAAGGGAGATGCTGACAGTCCTTAGTGTCTTACTTCAACTTCCTAACAGATCACTCATTTATTCTCCAAGGCATAATAAAGGGGCAGGACAGGAAGTCAGAGGTTATTTGAAACATCTTTTCACGCAGATCATAGTACTGGAGGATAAGGGCTTCCCTGAAAGAATTAAGTTCCTGGGGTTATTCCTTAGCCCTTGGCTGTTTTACCTTCCTACATTTTTCTTTGTTGCTCAGTGGTTCCTAAGAATTCATTTTGTCTTTTCACTGTAAGCTACTACTTACTAACCTCAATAGCAGCAGGGGGCTACTGTGGAATATGGTGGCTGCCTCCTTGTTTATTAACCCCCCAAGTCATCATACCAACTTAATTGCTTACCATTTTGAGGAAATCGTCTGGAAGGGAACCAAGTAACAAATGTGAAAAAAATCACCTCATTATGTGCCTTCCAAATTTGTTCACTTGATGTCAAAGGATTTCCAGAATTTTAAATGTAGTCCTGCCTTCTCTCTCTCTCTCTCTCTCCACATTAAAAAGACGCTAGAAAACCTACACCCCTATACCACAACACAGTGTAAAAGTGTCACACACTGGTGGCTTGTGTGTTGCTGTGATGCTTAAAGCTAGGCCACTGGTGTTTCAAATACCAGAAGGTTCACCCAAGGTGAAAAGGTTTCATTGGAGCTTCCAGGCTAAGACAGACTAGGAAGAAGGAGAGGCAGACTATTTCTGAAAAGTTAGCCATTGAAAACCTTATCAGTAGCCATGGAACATCGTCTGATATAGTGCCAGAAGACGAGCCCCTCAGATTGGTAGGCACTCAAAATACAACTGAGGAAAAGTTGCCTCCACAAAGGAGAGTAGACCCTTATGACCTTAATCATCTTTCATGATGTTAGGGAAGTTTTCCTCCAACAACTCTTTGACAGTTTTCTTTGTGCTTGTCTCTTTCTGTTCTGGAATTCTGATCACCACAAATTGTTCCTATTCTTGGTGTCTCACATAACTCTTAGGCCTTCTTTTGATTTTTTTCTGATTGTTCTTCAAATATATTCGTTTGTGGGGTTTTCCCGCTGTGATTTCTTGATCATGGCTTATGAGTTTATTTTATGAAAAAACTTTTCATCCAAAGTACCATTTCAGACTATTGTGCACATATAAACAAGAGAGTGAAGACAATGAACATAAACAGAAGGAAAGGAAACAGAATACACTGAATCAGGTTTGATATGGTCATGTGAGAGAGGAGGAAATTCCCTTCTGGAAATGTCAGTACAGTGTATGTAGGGATCTTCTGGGTGGTGGGGTGGGAGGTGGGATGTGACAAAGAGCTGGACCGCTCTTCATCAGGGTCACTTCAGAATCCATATTCCACAGGGTTGTCCACCACACATCCACACAGAGTTTTGTATTCTGGGAGCTCCTGCCTCCCCCCCCGAATCAATGTCTCCCCCCAGCATATTAATATTGAGAGATTTCTCTTCAAGCTCATGAATTCAGGCTTCCATTGCTTTGCATCTACTACTTTGCTCTTTCAATGTATTGCCCATTTCTGAGATTTTAGTATTAATCTTCTCGATTTCTAATTGCAGATTTTGTATTGTTTCAAAATTTGTATTAATTTTGTCTGTTTGTTCTTGTAGTGTTTTCCTGAGTTCTTCTAAAGTTTTTATTGTGTTCTCCTTGCTTTCCTCGATCTTTTTATCAGTCCTTTGAAAGTACCTAATTCTCATTCTTTTGAAATCTTTTTCAGTTAGTTCTATTACCTTTTCTTCCTCAGAAACATCTTTTGGCTCTGCATCTCGGTTATTAATTTGAGCCATCCTCTCTTGTTTCTTCATGTGAATTACAATTATCGGTTGTCTCCTTGTCATTGTGAGGTTGTATTTGTGAAAACAAACAGTGCGGTTGTTGGACCTGGAGGGGAAAAATCTCTGTAGGGCCTTCTGAAATTAAGGAGCTCATAAAATGATTGTGTAAGGGATGTGGCAGCAGAGTTCCTGGCCCAAGGTGGAATTCTTATTAGGTTCAGTGTTATCTATGTTCATGGCACACAATCCAGAAGTAGTTTGTGGGAACCCTTGATGGAGCTCGTTTCAGTGTCTGTTAGGAACACAGGGAAGCCGAGGTCAGGTAGACTGGTTAAATGTTGGTCTGGTGGCTCGTAGGATTTTGTAGGTTTGGAGCCGAGCTCACCAGGATGCAGGCAATAAAGCAGCACAGCCAGCCTCCTCTTCACACTGGTGTGAGTCCTAACCATGTGGCTGTGAACTCCCAGAGAGCAGGGTCTGCACTGGGGTGGGAGGGTATATGACAGTGGGAGCTGGGGGTATATGACAGTATATGGGGATATATGGCTATGAGAGCTGGCCACACTTTTGGTCATGGGGGTGGTGGTGGGAGTGTGGGGAAAAAAAGAATCACACCTTTTTTGTCGTCCACATGAATCTGCTCTGCCAGGCTGCCCTTGCCTTGATGAGGAACTAAGATGCATTGATAGGCATTGCTGGTGTTTCTATATTCAGAGTTGTTTTTATTAATTTATATACCTAATTTACTAATTGGATCGAGGACTGGAACACTTATGATTATTTAAATATGGGTGATTCAGAAATTTATTTATCAGTACTTAAGAGATCAATTAATAGCAAATTAATTGTGCAAATCATACACATGCAGTCATGTTCCAGTACCAAACTTTTGAAAGATGTGCTTTCTTTAAATAATCAGTTTTTGAAAGGTCAAATATTCCAAGGATTAAGATAAGTACCTTTTAGAGAGTTAACTTGAAGTCATCAGTTTTTTCCCGCATTCTTGGAAATCTGCACTTTGAGTTTCTTTGTTGCCTCTTCTCTGGCCCTCAGTGAATGAAGCAAATACCTTCACATACAGTGTGTGTTCTATATTGTCAGAGTGGAGGAAACGACCCATGTCAGCCTGCTGAGCTGTAGCAACACTTCTCTTAAGCATCAGCATTAATGTTTTACATTCTAATTTGATTTTCATCATCTTTTATTTTTAACTAAATCCTTAGCGTTACTCATCAGGATAAAGACCTCCCAAAGCAAACTTGGTCCATAGAATTGTCAGTGGCTTACCACAGCTAAAATTTTGCATATTTTGTATATTAGGATCTATACATTTCAAGTGACACAGCCCAATTCAGGAAACTCCACACAATATTTGGTTGACTCACAGGACCAAAAGAAGACAAGTTAGAATCAGATTCTCAGGGCTTCAGCCCTGCAGCACTCTTTCATGTGTTGTCTTTCTCAATCCCTTCTAGTCCCTAATAAGCTTTATTTAGTGTGAAGATGAAGCCTCACAGAATAATAAGCTAGTGAAAAGCACATCATTCAGAGTCTGTGTAACATTTCCTGGGGAGAACTATGATTGGCTGTGGTTGGACCACAAAGCCTGTCTTCAAGTTGCCAGTGCAACATGATTGGCAGCCTCATTAGAACCACCTACGTACGATACAAGGAGCATAGTGGTTACGAGTCGTGCTGTGTGTGAACTGCAAGGTCAGCAGCTCGAAACTACCAGCTGTTCCGTGGGAGAAAGATGAGGCTTTCTGCTCCCGTAAAGATTTACAGCCTCAGAAACCCTGTACAGGGTAGCTATGAGTCGGAACCGACTCCACGGCACCTAACAATAACAAGCAATAGAGATGGGTGGTTCTCCAAAGGAAAGGATGCTGGGTAAGACATAAGCCCACATGTTGATGCTGTCTGACTAGATTGGGTTTGTCATGCAATGCCTTTGTCATTAAAAAAATATACATTTAAAAATTTTCTGTCATATGGAAAATTATGTTATAAATATGGAGAACTTTATGTATACAAGCTGGTTCAAAATATTCCTGTTTGAAAATGATTCTGATTTCATTGACTAATCATTTATTATTCTCTTTCAGGCTCTTGAAGAATACTTAGATAGATGTAATAAACAAATTGATGATATTGTCACGTTGGTCCGTGGCAAATTGTCCAAGCAGAATCGTGTTACTCTGGGTGCCCTTGTGGTACTTGATGTCCATGCTAGAGATGTCCTCACATCGCTTGTTAAAAAGACAGTTAGTGATGAGTCTGACTTTGAATGGTTAAGTCAGCTTAGATACTATTGGCAAGTAAGTGATATCACCGAATGTTATTATGCAGCAATTTCATCTCATAGCTTTTTAATTTGTGCCTGCTTGTTTACATGGGAAATACTATCAGTAGAAGAGGATGTTTTGCTGATGGCCAACTATAACCCAACAAGCACTTTGCAGATTGACAATTAAAGCAGTCAGCAGCTATACCTATATTACATTGTTTGTATCTATATCTATGGGTATAGTGTTTTATACATTGTTGCTGTTGCTAAGTGCTGTTGAGTCTGTTACTCATAGTGACCCTGTATAGGGTTTCAGAGGGTTTTGTTTTTTTCTTTGCAGTATCAGGAAGCTTGTATCATTCTACCGTGGAACAAATGGTGGGCTCCAGCTGCTGACCTTGTGGTTTGCAGTCCAGTGCTTATCCTATGGAGCCACTGTGCTCACCCAGTTTTATATGAAGGAACTTTTAAAAGTTCATAGTAATCATTGATAATGAGCTTTCAATTTCACATAATTGTAAATTTTATTGTTTAACTTCAGTTTATCTGATTCAACCTAGGAAAATCATTTAGAAACAAAGATGATCAATGCTGGTTTGCGATATGGATATGAATATCTGGGTAACTCCCCCCGGCTGGTCATTACTCCACTCACTGATAGATGTTACAGGTACACTCACTAATTTAAAGATCTATTGGAAATAACTTTCACTCACCCCTAGAACATGGATTTTTGAAAAATTATCTTTCATGCTATAAATTTATACTGTGTTAACTTTTAAGTCTAGGCTCTTAATTCTTTTCTCAACTTTGTACTCAATTTCTCTGTCTCTCTGCTGGCTTATTCTTCTGAACTCTGAAGCTGTAATTATTACCAACTATCTCACCTAATTAAATAAAAAGAAATCCCTTTACTTTTTTTTTCTCCTTCTGGATGCTTCATTAGTATATTTTCCTTTTTAGTCAAAGTTCTCTGAAGACGATATCCCTTGTCTCCTCTTTCAGATATTGTAGTGACCCTGAAAACTATAATCTGGTTTCTTTCTCTGATGCTCATGTTGCTATTTTCAAATGAAATAGTTAATTGTTATTTTATTCCAGGTCACAATGGTGCTTGACACTGCCCATCTCCTCTTTTTCCTTAAAACTTTGATTCTTTCTGTCAGATGTTTTGTGCCATTCTCCCACCACTCATGTGTCAGTTTGTTGTACTGTGCTTGTGAGTTGCTGTGATTCTGGAAGCAATGCCACCAGTATTTTAAATACCAGCAGGGTCACCCACAGTGGACAGGTTTCAGATAATCTTCCAGACAAGGACCGGCTAGGAAGAAGGAGTGGTGAACTATTGCCAAATATTTAGTCACGGAAAACCTTATGAATAGCAGAGAAACACTCTCAGATATAGTGTCAGAAAATGAGCCCCTCAGGTTGGAAGGCGCTCAATATGCAACTGGGGAAGAGCTGCCTCCTCAAAGTAAAGTTGACCGTGATGACATGAATGGAGTAAAACCAGTAAAAATAAAGCCCACGGGACCTTCATTAGCTGATGGGGCACAACTCAAAATGAAGAGAAACAGCTGTAAACATCCATTAATAAACAGAACATGGAATGTACGAAATATGAATCTAGGAAAATTAAAAATTGTCAAAAATGAAATGGAATGCATAAGCATCGATATCTTAGGCATTAGTGAGCTGAAATGGACTGGTATTGGCCATTTTGAACCTGACAACCACATGGTTTACTATTCCGGGAATGACAAATTGAAGAGGAATGGTGTTGCATTCATTGTCAAAAAGAAAATATCCAAATCAGTCATGAGGTACAATGCTGTATGTGATAGGATAATATCCATGTGCCTATAGGGAAGAACAGTTAATACCACTATTATCCAAATTTACATACCAACCACTAAAGCCAGCGAGGATGAAATAAAAGAAGTCTACAAATTTCTTCAATCTGAAATTGATCAAACATGCAATCAAGATGTATTGATCATTACTGGTGATTGTAATGCAAAGGTTGGGAACAAAGACAAAAGATCAGTAGTTGGAAAAGATGGCCTTGGTGATAGAAATGATGCTGAGATCGCATGATAGAATTCTGCAAAATCAATGATTTGTTCATTTCAAATACCTTCTTCAGAAAGCATAAGGGCAAAATTGTGAGTTTAAATAGTCTATCTTAGCTTCTAAAAATGAAATTTATTTCTGATATTTAAGAGGCTTAAATTCAGATATTTAAGAAGTCCAAATTCAGGTCAGTAGCTCTAGAGGAAATCTCTAGCAGTCGCTTTTCCGCTTCTGTTTCTTGGTTCCTTAGCAATCTTCAGGTGGCCTGTACCTACCTATCCCCATATGCTTTTTGCTTCTGTGTCTAATCTCCTTATCTGTAAAACAGGATCAGTTTAAAACACACCCCACATTGGTATGGCTCTATTAACATAACAAAGGAAAACTAGTCCCAAATGGAATTACATCTGCATGTATTGTTGCTAAGTGTTGTTGAGTTAGTTGGAGTCTTAGCCACCCTACACAGAGTTTCCAAGGAATAACTGGTGGGTTTGAACTGCTGACCTTGCAGTTAGCAGTCCAATGCTTATCCTACAGTGCCACATCATTCCAACATATAACAAGGGGGCTTCAAAAAGTTCATGGGAAAATTCCATTATATTTTAAATTGATTTTTCCATAAACATTTTGAAGCTTCCTCATATTCTGGGACACATGATTGAATCTATACCACAGTCAATTTAGTAAAAGAGACAACTTAAAATTCTAGAAATAAAAAATGTAATTCTTATACTTTAAAAACTCAGTGATCAACTTCAATATAGGAAATAGAGAATTAAGCACTGGAAGACAAATACACATTTGAAAAATAACCCAGAAATATACAGAGGTCGCATATAAAAGAAGTTAAGAAAAAGAAAGAGAATGAAAAGAGGCAAAATCTAATAAACAATAGCTTAGAATTTTCCAGATTTGAAGAAAGACATAAGGAAGTCCCAAGCAGGATTATTAAAAAGTTCATTCATATTTAGTTTCATAATAGTGAACATTACCAATAAAAAAATATTGGTTCAACAAGCTACAACAAAGAAAATAAAATTACCTACACTGAAATGATGCTTCAAATAACAAACTCCTCATCAGTAGCAATGGATGCTAGAAGAATAACATCCTTGATAGGCTGAAAGAATATTATCATTAGCCTAAGTTCTATACTGAGTCATTTATCATTTAATCATCTAAACCAATTTAATAGTAGAAACCTATGATGAATGAGACCAAAAATCAGAGGAAACAGAACTCTAGAAAATGCAGCATTTTCAGAGGAAGGTGTTCTTCTTGTTAGGTGCTATTGAGTCAGTACCGACTCGTAGCAACCCTATGCACCACAGAACAAAACCCTGACGGGTCCTAGGCCAACATCACAAGTGTTGCCCACTTGAGCCCATTGATGCTGCTATTTTGCCAATCCATCTTGCTGGGGGTCTTCTTATTTTTCTCTGACCCTCCACCTTACCAAATATGGTGACCCAACAGAACATGTGGAAATCATTGGACAATATCTTTGATATCCCATGCAAGTAAAGTTTTACTAAAGGTAATACACAAACAGCTGCAAGCATACATTGACAGAGAACTTCCAGAGGTTCAAGCCGGATTCAGAAGAGGATGTGGAAAGTGGGATATCATTGCTGATGTCTGATGGATCTTGGCTGAAAGCAGAGAATACCAGAGAGATGTTTACCTATGCTTTACTGACTACACATTGGGTTTAACATGAGCCACCTCAGGACAGATGAACAATCTCAAGAAAACAGAGCCAGGAGTTGATTGTGTCCTTTGGACCCTAAGATACCTGTGTTCTGAACCACCTTGATCCAGGAGACCAAAAGCTATAACACCAGAGGAGAGGCAAAGGAGCAGTGACAGCAGAACCCAGAGCATGAGATAGAATGGTGGGCTCTCTGGCCCTTGGAGCCAATAAAACTGAGTGTCTTTGGGCAGCGTACTCACTCAGGTTAGCTGGGTACCTCCAGGCACTTAATTAGGGGAGATAGATTTGCTGACCCATAGAACTAGAGCTGAGCGCCTTTGGGCTGAGGCTGATGACATCATGGTGTGCCCTTTGGGCATATATTAGGAATACTGAAGGAGTCCTGGTGTGGTGCTGTGAGTTAATGCACCAGACAGCAAAGCTGTTTGAACTGCAAGGTGGTCAGTTCAAGCTCACCAGCTGCCCCTCAGAAACCCTATGCAGGGTTGCTATGGGCTGGAACTAATGGCCCTTAAAACTTAACAACAAAGGAGCTTAGTAACACTTGCCCCATGCAAGGTAGAGGCCAAGGGGCTATGTGACTGAGAGACTAAGATCGAAAGAGAGGCATACCTCTGGCACAGCTAAGAAGAAGCTATCATGCCTGAAGAACTATATCATGGGAATTTCTGACCCTGAATTGTAACCAGTTAACTTCCCTAATAAAAGCTTCATATTTGTGAATACTGTCTGTGAGTTCAGTGTGGCCATTGCAACGAATTTTCAAACCCAGCAGAGAAATGGTAAGTGTCTTGAGAGGGATGTTGCTGTTAAGTGATGTCGAGTCGATTCTGACCCATAGCAACCCTGTATAGGGCTTCCAAGAAGTAGCTGGTGAGCTTGAACCGCCAACTTTGCGGTTCAAATGACTTTGCAATCCAGTGCATTAACCCACAGCACCACACCAGGAATCCTTGAGAGGGATGGTTGGTGTCAAAATTGGTGAAGAAGATTAGTGGCTGAGGGCATGGCTTACCTCTACCTTATTGGAATTGGCCTTGAGCTTATGTTGAGTTTGATTCTTCTTCCTCCTTGTGAAGTCAGAGGATATCAAATGCCACCCCAATACTATTTTTGCACAGGTGATTTAATGCACTAGCAAAGATTTTCAGAGGCAATGGTGATGGAAGAAATAGTTAAAGAAGAGGTAGCAAATTTCATTCTCAGTTTTTACTTTCTTTTTTGTATACGCATGAAAAAATTACATTATTCCACAGATTGTTTTTCCTTATATTTCAGAACCTTATTTGGAGCACTTCATCTACACCTTGGGGGAGCACCTGAGGGTCCAGCTGGCACTGGAAAGACTGAAACTACCAAAGACCTAGCAAAAGCTGTTGCTAAACAATGTGTTGTTTTTAACTGCTCTGATGGATTGGATTATCTGGCTTTAGGAAAATTCTTTAAGGTTTGAATGAATTCTTCATATCTCTACACCAGTATAACTGATCAGAGAGGGGAGTTACTTATAGATGAACCATAATTAACTAGAAGTAAAAAGACAATGTAAGTTACATAAAGGTAAAAATTAAAGCTCTATGTCAATAATTTTCAAGGTAAGCAGAGTTGTATCAAAATGTTATTTGTGGAGGAGTTTTACCTATCATTCCAGTTGTTGTTGCTGTTGTTGTTGTTGTTAGGTGCCATTGAGTCAGTACTGACTCATAGCAACCCTGTGCCCAACAGAATGAAACACTGCCGGGTCCTGGGCCAACATCACAATTGTTGCCATGCTTGAGCCCATTGATGCTGTCATACTGCCAATCCATCTTGCTGTGGGTCTTCCTCTTTTTCTTGAACCCTCCACCTTACCAAACATGATATCCATTTCCAGCATCTGGCCCTTCCTGACATATATGTCTGAAGTATGAGAGATGAAGTTTGGTCATCCTGGCCTCCAAGGAGCACTCTGGCTTCACTTCTTCCAACACA